AGAGTGTCGGGTCCAGGGATTGAGGTTTCAATTCAATTCCACTCTATGCGGAGGGTCAGTGCTCACTTAGCGTTTCGGGTTCAGAGCTTTGCGACTTCCGAAGTTTCCAAAAGCCACGGACTTTCAAGTAACCGGCGCAAAGCAAATGGAGCGGTTGATGATCAAAATCCTGCATTACCTTCAGGAGCCTAGACTATGGGGAATTATGGTCTATTCCTTATTATGGGTAATGCAGGAGTTTTATCATCAACCGAGGGACCCGGCCGGGCCACACCACTTTCCCTACGCGTCCAAGTGCCTATACTTCTCATATGGGTGATTGTCAAAATTAGGGTCCCTTTTTTGGGAACCTTAAAAATTAGGTGCCGTATTATAATGGGGACCCAGAGAGGGACCATAATTTTGACAACCACCAATATACTTGGGGTATCTGGAGGTATGATTGTACCCAGGAGCCCTGAGAAACAAAATGTAAAATAGAGGGAATATGGGCTTGGGGTATCTTGTAGTGTTGCGGCATCTTATTCGTATGATGAGAACAAGGAACCGCGAGGAATAGTATTAGTAGATGCTCAGGCTTCTAGATTAACTTCTCCTGCGGGCTGTCAACTCCAACACGATCTCTTCTACAAGTGAAGAAACATGATCGCTTCCCAGTAAGCTACCGCAATATTTAGTAAACTTCAGTTTCGTGAGGGGGATATAGCCCAACAACTCCCGTTTGCATATGCTGCTACAAAGTTATGCAGCAACACCGCTGTCAACAGCAAGAAGTCTACTATCTGCCTTCCACTGCCATGATCTTACCTCTGAAACCTCTGGAAAGATAGCAGCCCTGCCTAAACCCTAAACCCTAAACCCTAAACCCTAAACCCTAAACCCAAACCCTCAGGCCCTCACCCCAAAACTTCCAAGCTAAACCTCCAACCCCGAAAATCTTAAAGACGGAGCCCCCGATCCGCAAAGCCTCGAACCTAGACTCCAAGAGCCGAACCCCTCAACGCCTGGACCCTACAGTTTACCCTATCCCTCCAAGGACCTCATAGTTAGGGCCCGAGACCCCTTAAGGACCCCATAATAAGGTCTTTGGAGGCATAGGGTTTAGGGTTTAGGGCGCAGGAACGTCGGAAAGGCCCCTAGGCCCTAGGCCGCGAAAGCAAAAGGGCCCGCAAGCCGAAGCAAGGAATATCACGTCTTAGACTTTTGTCAGATTGTATCAGTACTTGATGGGGTGTCTTGAACTTGGTTGTTTTGCGGATTCATCGTTGAGGATGTTGAGTTTCCTGAACAAGGGATCTTCACATATTAAGTAGCTAAATATATCAAGGCTTTTGGGAACATTATACTATAGCTGTTTTGCGGTTTAGGGTTTAGGGCTTTGGGTTTTGGATTTGTCTTTACTTCGAAGCTACTTCGTGAGAACCCCTTGTGAGATAAGTGAGGACTTTGGGACTAAACCCTAGACCCTCGATCCTCCAACCCTACAACCACCTAGTACTAGGACGCCCAGGAACCTAGGAATAAAAAGGGCTCCCTTTTGGTATCGGGTAACTCTTGTAGGAACCTAGGACTACAAACATGGAATAAGGATACTACTGGGCATCCTAGATTATGCTTAAGCCCGATTCGGTTCTTCGGATTGGCTACATGCTCCAGAGTTGGAGGCTTGGGTGTTGCGGTTTAGGCTTTAGGGTTTACGGCGTTCGGTGTTCAGGTCTTGGGGGTTCTAGAGGCTTAGGGTTTAGGGTAGGATTTCGGTTTACAGGGGGCCTCGTGTGTGGGGTGCGCATCTTCAGGTCTGTTTCCGGGCCCGCATCAGCGTTTGCGGTATGTTGAGCCACGCAAGTGCAAAGATGCCCTCAACCCTGACCCTCAAAGTCAAGACCGTGAGTCTCAAGCCGTGACGTCTAAATCGCCGAACCTTGCGGACAAAACGACGCCAAAAAGTAGGGGGCCCTGTACCCGGACACCATGAACCCCGATTATTGTGTTAAACCTCGTATAACCCCGTCAGGTTACATTTCATCCTTAAGGAACGTCTTCGTGGTCCGTCCCTGTACCTAGGGGCTCATACCCTACCCCTTGTTTTAGGATACCTAGCTTGACGGTTGGGATCTGTTGTGTAGAAACGTGGGTACCCTAAAAAGGGTAGGGTTGGGTATGAGCCTACAGGTACAGTTCAAAGAGCCATAAGGGTTAAGAAGGGTCCCCCTGTAAGGGATCTCCCTCATACCACCTATAGGAACCATGAGAGCGAAGCTCCTGCCCGGTCTTTGCAGCAGCGTCTTCGGAGAAGCATTGGCATTCCATAGGTGCGGCTCGAGGCTCAGAACCCTTGCCTCGATTCCGACTGGATTTTTTTTGGTTATTAGGGCCTTATCGGTTTAGGGTTTGGGGTTATTAGGGCCTTATAGGGTTTAGGGCTGCTGAAGTCTCAGCGCGTCTGAGCGGGTTCAAACGAAGATCGCTCAAATGAAGCAAGAAGAAGCACGTCTCAGAAGATGCACTGTTGAATCCAGCCGCTGTCAACGGCCGCATGATGATGTGGGATGCCTTGCGCCCTGTTCAGAGGGCTTAAACGGTTTCAGAAGCTTGTGCAAGCGCATAAAGTTTGTAAGGTTATGGCCACTTCTTTGTCCAGGTACAAGGCTAGCAGTTGCCTGGTCAACAGCAAAGCTTGCGGTCCACCAAGCAGCCACAAGGCGTTGTGCCTGAACCCAGGAGTGACCATGCGCCTCAAGAGAGGTTCCAGTTTCCAGCAGCTTTCCCGGCCATGCCTCGTAAGGCAGGGTGAAACAATGTAATATAGGGGCCTTAGTAATTACCCACAATATTTTGGGGGCTCCTTATCAAAACTCTAGCATAATGGGCCCCCAAAAACCGTATTCTAATTCTCGAGGCCCCTATATTACTCCAGAATCCGTGGATTTCAGGCTTCGGACGGAGCTACATCCGAGCCCTGCCCAAGCGAAACCGCACACATCGCATGTCTCGCAAGCGCTGATGACGGAACTGCAGCTGATCTCATTTGGCAAAAGTCCAGCTTTCAGCAGCTCAGAAAACAAATGCAAAGCCGTCTGCCACTCACTAGCTGTCTTACATGCACTGATGCTGGCATTGAAGCTGATCACATCTGGGGCGATTTTTGCATGCTGCATCTCTGAGAACAGTTCCAGCGCCATCCGCCACTGTCCCGCTGCTTCACAGGCACTAATGCTGGCACTGTAGCTAACCTGATTTGGAGTAACTGTGGCTTTCGGCATCTGCGAAAGCAAATGCAACGCTGCCTGCCACTCACCACTCTTCTGGCAGGCGCTGATGCTGGCACTGTAGCTGATCTCGTTTGGCACAAGACTGTTTGCTGGCATCTGTGACAGCACAAACAACGCCATCTGCCATTCGCCGCCTTTCTCACAGGCACTAATGACGGAATTGTAACTGATCCCAGTCGGCACAAGACTGGCTTCCGGCATCTGCAACAACAGGTGCAGCGCCGTCTCCCACCCGCCAATGTCCCCACATGCGCTGATGCTGGCGTTGAAGCTAATCACGCCCGGCAGAACACTGGCCGCAAACATCTTTGACAGCAGAAACAATGCTGTCTGCCACTCTCCGCCTTTCTCACATGCACTTATGCCAGCATTGTAACTAATTTCACTGGGCACCGCCCTTGCTACCGGCATCTGCGACAACAAATGTAATGCCATCCGCCAATTGCCACCCTTTTCACATGCACTGATGCTGGCATTGAAACTGATCCTATCTGGCAGCACACTGGCTACCGGCATCTGCGACAGCAGAAACAACGCCATCTGCCATTGTCTGCCTTTCTCGCAGGCACTGATACTGGCATTGAAACTTATCTCACTTGACACAATTCTGGCCTCCGGCATCTGCGACAACAAATGCAGGGCCATCTGCCAGACGCTCCCTTTCTCACACGCGCTGATGCTGGCATTGTAGCTGATCTCACTTGGCGCAACGTCGTCAGTTGGCATTTGCAAGAAGAGGAGCAATGCTATTTGCCACTCACTTCCCTTTTCACATGCGCTGATGCCAGCATTGTAACTCACCACATTTGGCAGAGTCTGCACTGACGCCATCTGCTGTAAGAGATCTACTGCAATCTGCCACTTCAACCCCTTTTCGCAGGCCGTGATTGCAGCGCTGAAGCTGTAGACATCCGGAGCTGCGCGGGATGCAAAGATTCCCGACAATATTAGCAGTGCCGACTGCCACTCTGTGGCTCTTCCACATGCGACGATCGCTTTGCATGAAGCCTGGGCTCCCCAATACCTCAAAAAAATCCAAGAATGGTGAAGGGCACCCTGTTGAGATCTTTCGAATATGGTTCACGGTTCAAGCCATATTTCCAAGGAAACCCCAACTGGAAAAGAGCAAAGGGCTAAGGTCGACCAAGATTAGACTGAAACTATACTTGAATTACTTTGCCAGTGTGATCAGGAACGTTTCGGAATATTATGACCTAGAAGCTTTCTGGCTCCCGCCTCCAGATCCCTGCTGCGCCCGGCGCACTGCAAGCTGCCAGTCTCGGATTCCGTTGCTCGATGCAACTCCCAATACCGACACCGGCATGGTGGCTGATGTTGGGTTTAGGGTGCAGCAACCCTTATGACTGTCCCCTCAAGAAACCCGTAAAGGAACTTTGTGGCGTCCATTTAGGTTGTAGGGTTTGGGAATGTAGGGTTCAAGGTTGAGGGCATTTTAATTTGGGGAGCTGACTGCATTGTTGGCAAGCCTGTGAGCTCAATATGTCTGCAGGCAATCTGGATAGCTGCACCTGCCATGTGCGTTAGATAACGAAGTCCTAAACCGAGCAATCGCTGCTGCCTCTCGTTTAGTTCATCCACACAGTAACCCCGAAAACCTCAAACACGAACCCCACTCACACTCCAAATGCCCAACACCCGAAAGCCCGAGAACCCTGAGCACGCTGAACCCTGAAACCTATATAAACCGAAACCCTGAACCTGGAACCCTTACTGAACTCTATACTTGTGAGGACGGCAAGACCGCAGGCTGGATGCATGCAGAACATTCTGCATACTTCGGCATCCAGAGATTGTCCATGCCGTGCTGCGCTCACCACAAAGCTCGCATGCACTGACAAGGAAACTCAAGCTGATCCGACTGGGCACAACACCAGCTGAGAGCATCTGCGAAAGCAAAAGCAGGGCCATCTTCCACTCACAAGCCTTCTCGCAGGCGCTTATGCTGGCATTGTAGATGATCTCGCCGGGCAAGACTCTGGCTACAGGCATAAACGCAAGCAAGCCTAATGCCATCTGCCACTCTGCAACTCTTGCACATGCACTGATGCTGGCACCGAAGTTGATCACATCTGGTGCTACGGCGCATTTCTGCAGATGTGTGAACAAAAGGAGCGCCTCCTGCCACCTGCCAGCTTTTTCACAGGCGCTCATGCCGGCACTGTAGGTGATCTTGTTTGGCACAACGGTGGCCTCCGGCATCTGCGACAGCAAGAACAGCGCCATCTGCCACTCGCCACCTTTCCTTACTTGTCCAGCTTGCTGGTTCAAGACTGCTTGCTCCATGAATATCTCAAACTGATAGAGGTACTTATACAGCCTTCTCACTTACAAGTCCTCAACCCGACACCCTCAGTCCTAAATCATATGAGTCTCTCACACCTAAACCCTAAACCCACAGTCCTAAATCATATGAGTTTCTCACAAGCGCTCATCACGGCGCTGTAGCTGATCTCACTCGGCACGGATCGCACTGTTGGCATTTGACAAAACAGCAGCAACGCCAACTCCCAGGCACCCCCTGCAGGGCTTTTCAAGGGTGGTTATGTAGTAGAAGGGCCTTCATAATTGGAACAGGGTTTTGAGGTATGGTATTACTATAATCATAATTCGCCTCGGCCCCGGCCGAAGCGGTCAGAGGTTCCTATTCGGATTCTCCTATTCCCCACCTCTTAATCCCCTCCCCAGTGACCCCACCCCCAAAAACGGGGCCCGCTGACCCCCCCCCCCTTTAAAATGGAAACGTGTCGACTAGCCCCAAGGTGTGGTGGTGAATTCTCGCCCCCTCCAACGGATTTTGGCAGTCTGTAGGCAGTCCCACCCAGTTTTCCTCGCGTCCCTTCCCTCCCCCCTCCCCCCCCTTCCCCCTTCCGACACGGGACTGCAAGGCTTGTTTTAGACGCCCTTTTGGGATAGGCGGAGGAACGTTGAAAAGGGTCAAGACGCCCACGAAATCCACAGCCTCAACGGCCCATACTTAAGGCATCCCGCCGCTTGCGAGAGTCTTGGTATCCAGTGTTTCGGAATGACGACACCAAAATTCGTACTGATACTACCACTACTAATACTACTCACAATCATCCTGCTTCGTGTTGCTATGAACATTACTTTTACTATAAGTGCGATTCCAACTGTTACTTTTTTCCTACAAGAGCTTGCTGCAGATAGTAGCCACTCGCCGCATGCGCGTACAGCCGGGCCGAGGCGGACGACGCGCAGCGTTTCAAATAAGGAAACACCAGAATAGGATTGGAAATTATTTCGGCCCTATATAGTCGGGTTTTATACGTTTTATAAGGACTTTATATGATTTTGTGTGGGCTCTTGAAGTTCGAGGTATCCCATCTAGTGGTCCGTGTCATGCAGGAGGATGCTACTATCCAAGGGAGAGGAGCGGCTAGAGACCACCTGTTTTCCGAAACCATCACCTGGGTGGTTGTCAAAAATAGGGTCCCTTTTTGGCTCATTATAATAATGCGGCACCTAATATTTAGGGTACCCAAAAAGGGACCCTAATTTTGACAACCACCCACCTTTCTCACAAGCACTGATGGCAGCATTGAAACTGATCTCATTCGATGCCGCACTAGCTGCTGGCATTTGCGACAGCAAATGCAATGCCATCCGCCACTCACCAGCTTTTTCACAAGCGCTCATGCTGGCGTTGAAGCTGATTTTATCTGGCAAAACGTTGGCCGCGGGCATAAAAGATAGGAGAAACAGTGCCATTTGCCATTTACTTGCTTTCTCAGATGCGCTGATGGTGGCATTGAAGCTGATGTGGTTTGGCACAACGCTGGCTGCAGGCATCAGCGACAGCAACACCAACGCCATCTGCCACTGACCAGCTTTCTCACAAGCACTTATGCTTGCGTTGAAGCTGACCTCATTTGGTGCAGCTTCGGCTGTCGGCATCTGCGACAGCAAAGTCAACGCAATCTGCCACTCACCACCCTTCTCGCACGCACTGATCGCAGCACTGAAGCTGATGGTGTTTGGCAAATGTCTAGATGCAGCCATTCTGAAAAGCAAGGACAAGGCCATCTGCCATTCCCCACCTTTCTCGCATGCGCTGATAGCGGCACTGTAGCTGACCACATTTGGCAGAGTCTGCACTGATGCCATCTGCTGTAAGAGATCTACTGCAATCTGCCACTTCAAGCCCTTTTCGCAGGCCGTGATTGCAGCGCTGAAGCTGTAAACATCGGGAGCTGTGCGGGATGCGAAAATGCCCGACAGTACTTGGAGTGCCGCCTGCCATTCCCCACCTTTCTCGCATGCGCTGATAGCGGCACTGTAGCTGACCACATTTGGCAGCGTCTGAGCTGATGCCATCTTCGCCAAGAGAGCTACTGCAATCTGCCACTTCAAGCCCTTCCCGCAGGCTGTGATTGCAGCGCTGAAGCTGTAGACAATCTGAGCTGCGCGGGATGCGAAGATGCCAGACAGTTCTCGGAGTGCCGCCTGCCACTGTGCGGCTCTCCCGCAGGCGACGATCGCTTGGCATGAAGCCTGGGCTCCCCAGAGACTCCAATAGCCCTTAATTAAGGAATATACCTTAAATTATAGTAGGATCCCCCTTAATTAAGGAATATACCTTAAATTATAGTAGGATCCCTAATATAATTTAAGGTATATTCCTTAATTAAGGGCTATTGGAGTCTCTGGGTCCCTAGCTCCCTACCCAAAGGGTCCAAAGTACCGATATAGTAGAATGTAGGGTTTTCTATACTAGGAATTACTATTATGATTTGGAGAAGTATTCCCCATAACAATACATAGGACCCTTTGGGCTAGTATCACCTGAATAATTGCAGGCTACCCCGTTTTCTAGCATTCATTTTTACTCAGAAACCCCTAAACCCCAAATACAAAGACCAACGGGTAGTAAGGCGGGCTCGAGAAGCTTTCTGGTTGCCACTTTCTGGCAGTCTTTGTGCTACGTGAACTGCAAGCTCCCGATCTCGCGCCAGCTGCGCAGAGCTTGGCAGCGTCGCCATCGTCGGCATATCTCCACATGATTTAGGAGGGGCCTTCACAGGCAGAATACGGTTCCGTTACAGGTTTCCTTTGAGGATCACTATGTCACTATGAGGGTGATTACGAGGGCTTAAAACGGGGCCTTTACAATTAGAGGCGGCTAGACTACGGTTTGCAGGCATGCTAGTATAGTTCTACAGAAGCTCTAAGGGTGAAGTACTTACTAGTTGTGAAGACCCCTAAACTAAGCAGCATCGACAAAGGCGGAATCAGGCACGGACTCTGATCTCAGTGTCACCGCTAGCAGTCTGCATGCTTCAACCGTGCCCCTAAGCCCTCAACCCTGGACCCTGTGACCCAGAATACTGACTCGTCACCTCTGAGCCCGAAACTGCAAACCCTGAAACATTACACCTAAAGATCCCAGAGACCCTGAAATCACTGCAGCCCCCTAAACATTACCTGAGCCAAAGCTCGAATAGCATCCATTACTCCCAAATGGGTCGGAGTAACTAATTATAGTGTGTTTCCTTGTAGTCCCTATATAGCTATGCTTTGATATACCCCTAAACCCTGTTGTCATTTGCTGTAGAACCTCATCAATAGCTGTAAAGATCCCGTAAAGAAACCTCAAGGAACCACAAAGCCCTTTTCTAATTCCAATTCTTGAGACGCTACAACCCCGAACCGGCCCCAAACCGGGTGGCAGGAAGGCGGTTCCCCCAAGGCCAGACAAAGGCTTAGGGCTTTGGTTTAAACTTGAAGGGTCGGGGGACTGAGTAGATAGTTGCTGGTTGATAGACTCTTATGTATCGTAGAACCGCAATTGAGACCCCTGTAAGGGTACCTGTAAGTCTTCTATTACCGACACACTCAGCAAGCCCCCCTCCCCGCAACCCCAGTCGCAGTGCCCCCCTCAGCCCCGACCGGAACCCCAAGCGGCAAGATCCCAAACCCTCAACCTTCAGACCCTAGGCTCCTAAAGCCCAGAGCCCGAAACCCGAGACCCATTAACCTGAAACTAGGATGCCCAGTAACCTAGGAATGAAAAGGGCTCCCATTTTGGTATTCGGCAACTTAATAAGGAAGCCAGGACTACAAAAATGGAATAAGGGTACTACTGAGCATCCTAAGAAATCGTAGGAAGGCCGACGGTAAGGCGACCTGGGCCGCGCTTCGGCTAGCTCAGCACTGCCGAGGGTACAGGGTTTACCTGAACCCTGAATAACCTACCTGTTTAGGGTTCCCTACTATGATTTCCTTATATAACTCCTCAGAAAGGTACGTTCTTCAGGGTCAAGGTGGAAAATTTGAGCACCAAGCACTGTGGAGTATGCATTTGAGCATTTTTCATGGTATAAGTTGGTGGGGACTAAACTTTGTCGCTGTGTGAACTGCTTCGAAATTGTTCAACCCCACGGACAAGAGCACCCTTCCTTTTCCCGACAAGGCTACTTTCCGGATGAAGGCGATCTGCGAGGAGCTGATCCCAATACCCCTGAATCAAGGAATATACCTAAAAGATATTAAGCCCCCTATAGCTTGAGGTATATTCCTTGCTTGAAACGTATTCATGAATTCCCTTATAGGAGCCTTATAGATCCCTTTAAGGAGCCCTTTAAGGAACCCTTAGGTATATTCCTTAATTCAGGGATATTGGGATCTCTGGGGAGCTGCAGCTGCTCCAAGCTAAGCCATGGCTCAGCTCCTCACAGATCGTGCTCTACTTGGAGGTTCATGGGTAGATAAAGTGGAGTGATTAGTAGGGTAACTATAATTATGACCCATATTAGGGGACTTATAACCCCACTTATAACTACCCATGAACCTCCACGTAGGCTCCCCAGCAGCCCCTAAAGAAGAAGGGTGCCCTTTTCCTAGTATTCGGTTTCGATAAGGAGACCCCGAAAGAGAAAGGGCAAAGGGCACTACCGGGGAACCTCGTGGCTTAGTGCTGTGCGACTCGGCATCGCTGTCAGTGCCAACACTTTTTTAAAGGGTCGGCTCTGACAGCGATGCCGAGTGGCTCAGTGCTGTTGAGATGTTCCTACGCTTCATGTATTCTGAGCATAGTGGGCTCCATCACAGCACTGGTGGAGGTGACAGCGCTGGCAGACAAGTACCAAGTCAATGTTTTGCATGTGTCGTGTTTCCACATCGTTCGAGAGACCATCACGCCTGACATAGCCTGCAAGGTCCTGGCATCCGCTGGCCGTTTTCACGTAGACGACCTGCGAGCAACTCACCACGGGCCTGTAGGAGAGCTTTGCACACGAGAGAAATCAGAAACTCCCAGCAGTGTCATGAGCATGCACGGTTGAGTCACGGTGGCTCTTGCAGAGCCGCTGTGTTCCAGCTCCTCACAGGTCAGACCGCATGCATAATTCCAAGAAGCCGACTTAACTTGAGATTCGAGATACCCCAATAAGGAAGACATGCTATTCACGATGTATCCCAATTATGGCAAGCTAAGGTCCTGTGCCAGCGACCATAGACAGGAGGTCGGAAATGCGAGCACTGCACTGCCGCCACTGATTTACCATCTGAGTACTTGAAAAAAGAGCTTTGTTTGCTTCCGGAAACATGATCGGACATGTCTCTTCCGCTACTGGAACATCTTCTGATCGAACTGACAGCCTCGGGTGAAGTTGTATCCAGACTCTTTCCTTGCAAAGCCGCACTCGCCACAGGTCTCGCATGCACTGGTAGCACAGCTGAAGCTGATCCGGTTTGGCACAACTCTGGTTATCGGCATGCCTGCGAACAGGAGCAGTGCCATCTGCCACTCTCCACCTCTCTGACATGCGCTGATGGTGGCATTGAAGCTAATCTCATTCGGATCTATGCTGGTAGTCATCAGCAATGAAAACAGCCGCAACGCCTTCTGCCACGCACCAGCTTTCTCACATGCACTTATGGAAGCACTGTAGTTAATCACGTCTGGCACGATGAAGGCTTCCTGCATCCACGAAAACAGAACTAGGGCGATCTGCCACTCTCCACGTTTCTCGCAAGCACTGATGCAGGCACCGCAGCTGATCTGATCTGGCACAAGACTGGCTGCCAGCATTTGAGACAGCAGGAGCAAGGCCATCTGCCACTCACCAGCTTTTTCCACTGCGCTGATGCCAGCATTGAAAGTAACCTCATTCGGCAAGACTCTGGTTGCCGGCATGTGCAATAGCAACACCAATGCTGTCTCCCACGCACTTGCTTTCTCACAAGAGCTGACGCCGGCGCTGTAGCTGATCTGGTTGGGCAGAACATCGGCGGCAGGCATAAGCGACAGCAAGTGCAAGCCCATCTGCCACTGACTACCTTTCTCACACGCACTGATGCTGGCACTGTAGCTAATCACATTTGGCTGGACCCCTGCTGCTGGCATCTGCGACAGCAAAGTCAACGCAATCTGCCACTTCCCGCCCTTCTCACATGCACTAATGCTTGAATTGAAACTGATCTCATCTGGTACAACTCTGGTTTCTGGCATCTGCGAAAACAGAAACAGAGCCGTCTGCCACGCACTACCCTTCTCACATGCACTGATGCTGGCATTATAGCTGATCTCGCTATGTACCACACCAGCTGCAGGCATCTGCGAGAACAACAAAAGTGCGATTCGCCATTCATCTCCCTTTTCACATGCGCTGATGCCAGCATTGTAGCTCACCACATTTGGCAGAGTCTGCACTGATGCCATCTGCTCTAAGAGATCTACTGCAATCTGCCACTTCAAGCCTAGTTCATGGTTGGGATAGGATTAAAAAATCAAATGTTTATTCCTTATTGGATTTAAGTACCCATAAAAGGCAAAATGTTACCCAACTATGACAAAGAAGCCCTTTTCGCAAGCCGTGATTGCAGCGCTGAAGCTGTAGACATCAGGAGCGACCCTGGATGCAAAGATGCCCGAGAGTATTAGCAGTGCCGCCTGCCACTCTGTGGCTCTTCCACAGGTAACGATCGCTTTGCATGCAGCCTTGGATCCACAGTATTCTTCAGATCTAAACCGGAAACTCAAGATTCCAGGGCGCAAAGTAATACTGGAGAACCCTTCTAGAGCCCTTGTACGACAGCCTTCCAGTACCAAGCCTAAACCCACTCCAAGCCCTGAAACCTGAATTCTAGACACCAAACCCATAGAACCTTCATACAAGCCAAAGCGTGGCCCAGAAGCTTTCTGCCTCCCAGCTCCAACATACTATAACATATTAAAGCTACCCCGTAAGTCTTAAGTATAATCAGGAACATTTCGGAATAGTATGCCCTAAACCCTAAACCCTTAACCCTTAACCCCTAAACCGTTATGACCCAGCAGCTTTCTGGCTCCCAGTTCCAACACCTCGCAGGGGCCGGTGATTGGCAGGTTTCCAGTCTGGGCTTCCGTCGCTGGACGCAGCTCCCGCCATCGCAGCTCGTGGTCTTATCAACTGGGCTCTTCTTAAGGAGGTTACTTTAATTAAGCTGCCATAGTAAGGATCTATAGCAAATAATGTGATTTATTATGGCAACTTAAACTGACTAAATCATGGGATCTAGAGCAAATAATGTGCTTTCTTTATTATGGCAACTTAAACTAACTAAATCATGTAACAAGAACCCAACCAAGGGGCCTCGAGTCTCTAGTGTTTAGGGTTGAAGGTTTAGGGTCTAACAGAGGGGGGGCTTTGCAGGGGTTCTAAGGTTCTTTTAGTGTTTAGGGTCTGGGGTTTGGGTTTGGGGGTCGAGATTTGTGCCCAGATAATCCAAGATCCGGTAAGTAAGTTTAGGCCGTTGGGTCTAAGTTTCGCGTGCTGCTCCGAATTCTCCTTATGAGCAATGGAATCATTCGGACATGGACTTTGGCATGTGAACCTAAATGCCCAGGGCCTAGATATGCCTAGGTTTAAGGCTTAGGGCTTCGGGTTCAGGTTCGGGCTGATGTAATCGCGAAAACCAAAGACGGAAGAGTGCTGTTGCAGGCTTGCTTGGCATATGCTGCATGCACAGATGGCAGAAATCCTAAATCCCACACTGCAAACCCTAAACC